AGGTATGTTCCAATTTTGTATTTGGTTTTCAATATCATTAATAATAATTTCCTCTTTGTTTTTGATCCTTAGAGTTCTATTAGTTGTACTAGTTGTTTTATCTGTCAGATTCTTCATAAATTTCTCCATTATTAGGTTGCGGTTGAGTGTTATCTGGACAGTTCTCTTTGACTACCTCTTACGTCTTCTAGACCTCAGCGGCTCTCTTGGCCTAAACGGTCAACTGACTGGGTGTCCTGAGCGTCTCTAACCTCAATTCTCGGACCAACTTTCTCTAATGGATTAATTTATTAAGTTTCTTAGGATATAACAACTAGTAGTAACTTTTAGATCTCTAAAACAGGGTTGGCTTTGATACCATTTCTGCCGCAAGATCTACCCTACTACTTTTATAATAAATATGAAAAGATTACAAAGTTATGTACGACTAATTGTTGTAAAATTGTAACATAGAAGAGAAAAAAAAATAGAATAATTAAAATAGGGAACCAAGATATATCAAATATAATCCAAGAAGTATGAGTATAATCGCAAATTTTGAATGTAAAAACAAACTTAAATTGCATGACTTACTGATTACAAATACAAAGACTTGCAAATCTCTTCCACTCAGAGGGATAATAAGAAGGTAAAGAAGATAGATTACAATCACACATTCTAAAAAGAAGTCATATAGAAGTTACCGACTTTGATAGTATACAAGTGTCAATGACTGTAAAAGCCTAACCTACTGTCTATAGAATGAAAGAAGAAGGTGAGAAGAAAGAGAGAAGAGAGAGAGAAGAGAGAGAGAAGAGAGAGAGAATATGAGAGAGCAGAGAGAATATGAAGAACTATGAGAGCTTGCTTCTTGATAAGGCTTGTTGCTTCCTTGATGCAGTCTGCCTGCTTCTTCTGGCAGAGTAGGTATTTATAGAGGTTCGTCGGAGGAGAGCATGTGGCTGCGATTGATTGCTTGGTGACGAAGGAAACTCTAGTGGCTGATATTCGTTTGCTTGACGATGAAGGAATGCGAGGATAAGATTCCTGCTGAAGAGGGATACGTGGCAGGTGCAGAAGATAGTTGGATGTCGGTGATGGTGACGGATGACGACATGGCAAATCTTAGGTGGTCTGTGTGAGCGGTACGTGCGAACAACAGCGAAGGAGGACGAGACACGTCAGGCGAGTGATGTGACCCGAAATTAGTCACAT